TCGGTCATTCCCATGGTTCCATATAAATCTGAAACATATTTGTTCAAGCCTTTTGAGGTCAGAACATTCTGGGTTGGGTAGTGCCGAGAACAAGTGATTGATTTTAGGTAAGATTAAACTCTTAAGAATGGTGACTCTTCCAATTAGAGTCAGTTTACGTTTACTCCAGATATGTGTTAATTTCTCAAGATCATCCAATTTCACATTAAAGTTGAGATCTATAATTTCGTCTAAATTTATACTGAAATTAATGCCAAGAGATGTAAACTGATTTTCAGGCCAATTAAATTTAAATTCATTACAAATTTTTGTTTTTGAACCTGCATATCGGCCCATCCAGATAGCGTTTGTTTTATCTATATTCACTCTTAATCCGGACATTTTAAAGAATAATTCCAGAGTATTCATAGTTTCTCGCAGTGATTCCTCTGAACCATCCAAGAAAAGTGATGTGTCATCCGCATATTGTGCTATTTTAAATTGCCTATCAAATATATATACACCTTTAATTCTATCGTTTTTCCTAATCATTGACCCAAGAACATCTGCGCATAGTAGAAATATATACGGCGAGAGCGGGTCGCCTTGTCTACAGCCTCTTTCCAGCTTAAAGAATTTCGACAGATGACCATTTTGTGTAACACATGACTGCGCATTTTTGTAAAGTATTTTTATCCAGTTTTGCATGGAGGGCCCGAAATTGAATGCGCGGACAACATTTTCGATAAATTTCCATGACACACTGTCAAACGCTTTTTCAAAGTCTATAAGTAGTAGCATGGCCGGGACATCCTGTCTCTTTGTTTCAAACAGGATGTCGTAGGTCAACCTTGTACATTCGCCTATGTATCTGCCAGAAAGGAACCCTTTCTGGTCCTCATGAATTAATTTGGGTAAAACAGATTTAACACGATTGGCAATGCAGCCTGATATGGCTTTATAGCAAGAATTCAACAGCGTAATGGGCCTCCAGTTTTTTAGAAGTGTTCGATTTTTTCCCGTTTTCGGAATACATGTAATCACGCCTTGTTTTTGGGTCAGTGATAGTTCACCTTTATGTAGTGCATTGTTAATAGATCTCAGCATAATCTTAGATAAATCTCGCCAAAAGAACTGGAAAAATTCTGAGGTATAGCCGTCGATGCCTGGACTTTTGTTTCGTTTCTGATTTTTCACAATAGTAGACAATTCACTTATAGAGATTGGGCCTTCAAGTGACTCACTAATTTCTTTTGATAATTTTTTTTCTAAGACGTTTTCCAAATTTATGTTAGTTTTTTCTAAATCAACATTTGGATTACTTTTGTATAATTGTTCATAGAAGAGTTTAACTTGTTTCAATATTTCTCTCTGATCCGAAACTTTGCCTAATAGTTCAGTATCAATTTCTTGGATATTTTTGTTTGTATAATTTCTCTTTTCTAAATTGAGGAAATATGAGGTGTTTCTCTCCCCTTCCTCAGTCCATTTGGCCCTAGATCTAACAATGATTCCTTCAATTTTCTTTTTCCTATGTTCCTCTAATTTTGAATTCAAGTTTTGCAATTGATCATAGAATTCACCGTGGTTAGGATATATTTCAGTTTTGTTTTCAATTTCTTGTATTTCTAGCATCAATTTTTTTTCAATCTCAGAACTCTTCCTTTTCTTATATGAGGCAAATGATATGATTTTCCCTCTTAAATGTAAAAGTAACATTTCAAAGAGCAATTGGTCATCAATTGTATATTCAATGTCATTAATTGTGGAAGCTTCAACAAATTCGAGACTGTATGGCGACGCCGCATAGAACTCTTTGATGTAGTTGATATTTTCTTTGATCATTGTAACAAACAGCTCGTCATACAGTAAGGAATTGTTGAATTTCCAATAGCCTTTTGCTCTTTCATGTTTATTAATAGTCAAGGCAATGGAGATGGCAGAATGATCGGTTCTATATCCATGTAGGATATCGGCTTTCGTAATATGTGTCAGGAGATTTTCTGAAGTCAAGAAAAAGTCTAGCCGCGCTCTTTTAATTGGATTACACCTACTCCATGTATATTTTTTTTCGTTTTTGTTGAATGAGCGCCAGACATCGATTAATTCATATTTCTGACACATATCTGTCAGCTCCATTTTTGCCTTAGGGTTATTTACATGTTTGTAGTTATATGTATCCATACATTGATTTAAAGTTAAATTCCAATCCCCACAGAGGATGTATCTATCATTGTCAAACAGCTTTAAATTCGTATTGAGTTCTTGGTAAAAGCCAGGACTATCAGAATTAGGCCCATAAATATTGCCAAGTATAAATTTTATGTCATTTATTTCTAATTCTACAAAAATGTAGTTGCTATTGGTCCAGTCTTTTCTGACTTTATGTTTTTTGTATTCTAATTTATTTCCGAACAATATAGTCACTCCTCTCTGTTTAGACGAATTACCACACATTTCGATATCAGAATTTCCCCATTCCGCTGCTATATATTTTTCTAATTTTTGTTCCAAATGCGTATCTTGTAAACAAATAATGTCTGCATTCTGCTGTTTGAGCATGTTAAATACATCGCGCCTCTTCCTACTGTCTCCAAGTCCCTGACAGTTAACCGAGAGTATTCTTAAATTGTTAGCCATAGTCAGTTTTACTTAGATAAGGGCTCTTTTGTGAAAACTCTCGATGAAGTGCAGGGTCCGAAGGGGAAAGCATGAAGGGGGGCTCATGAATTGCATAGCATAATGTAACAGATATATAAACAATTGTATGGAACAAAGATAAATAACAAAAATACAATACAATAAAATAAAAAGGTACATTTCCTTTTCCTATCGTTGACATCTGGGACACTTTAATGTCCAAGATTACGAAACTGCAAAGGATTATAATAAAAATAGTATTTCCAACTTCCTATTCAGACACATTTTCTGGCTACTTATTAAGTTAGTGCCGTGGGACATTTTCTGTCATATCAACTATAAGAATTATTTTGCTCTACCTCTAAGATTGCCGGTGCCTCCCAACGCCCATTATTTTTATCAGATTGGCCCGTACTGCACTACTGGTCTATAGTTTATATAGCCTTAATGCGCATTACATAGCGTAACACAAGCAATATTGTTCTTTGGTTTGATATCAAATCTATACTTTCCTATGTTATTAATTTATAAGGATAAGTATCCTGGTTACCGACTGCAGCCTCAATCCATTGAGATACTTAACCACTGAAGGCGATACTTAAGATATATAGAGTAGGCCTATAAATAAAGTAACCACAAATTCTCTAACTAGCCATTAACCCATCAAATCCTGCGGACTATCACGCCTCTAAAGAGAGCATAAATTACATATTCATTTGCTTATTGGTATGGGGCATAGTGGAGATGTAGACCTTCATTAACGTTACAATAGCAGCAATTTTTTTTTTTTTACCATATATCAAATTTTCAACATGAATATTGTTACAAAAGGGAGTTGTTACATGTATAATGTTTACAAACTTTAAGAAGTTGTTACATGTATACTGTTTATGAACTTTAGAAAAAGTCTATGTATAACTTCTTTTTGGGATTTCAGGGTTTATCGAGGAAAACATCATTTTAAGTAAATCTTATCCACGTCGGATTATGCTTCTAATTATATCGTCTATTCCAGTCTATGTCGGATTTGCCTTTCACTTCTAGCCACACGTCAGCTTTAACCACTCTTATTCTTGTTTTTAAATGTTCATTTTTTCTGATTTCGAATGCTTTCTGTACTAACTGTGCTCTTTTCTTTTTCAGGGTAGCTGGTAGGTCACTTCTTACAGACATTTTACTTCTACCGTTAAGTTTCTCCTGGGCCACATTTAATATGCGGTCTCTATGGCATTGTTCTATCAACACAATGATGATAGCCCTTGGGGCATTTTCTGTTCTTGGGTTTTGATAAACTGGTTTTCTCAGCCTATGAGCGGCACATAGTTTTATTTTCATCACTTCCTCCTTTGAGAGTTCTAAGCTGGTTAGTAAGAAATGTGTGACCACTTCTTGGATATTTTCTTCTTTTTCTTCTTTAACTCCATAAATTAGCAGATTTCTCTTTCTATCATGAATTTCTTTCACCAATATTTCTTCTTCTAATAACTTTATTTTCTTTAGTAGATTATTTTGATTTTGTGGTAGGGTTTCTTCGATACATTTTATTTTTTCTTCATTTCCAATGATTTTCTTCTCATTTTCTTTCACAGTTTCTTTTATCTGTAATATTTCGTTTTGAATACCTCTAATTTCTACTTTCATTTCAGTTTTAAGTTCTTCAATTTTCGAGCAAACTCTATTTTCTATGAGGTCTTCTACGTTTTTGAATTTGCTTAGAATAGTTTCTGTGATTTGTCCCATTTCTGTTGAAGTTACGTAAGTTTTACTGTCGTTTCTGTTTTCATTTTCCAACACAGACATGTCTTCTTTTTCTTTAGTCTGACTGCTCTTTTCAACAATGGCCTTTTTCGTCGCAGAGCTTCTTGTCATGTACGATTTAATTGATTCTGCATTGGTTTTTTTAAGACGAGGAGGCATGAGTCACTTGCAATGCCCAGCAGGCCAGTTTCTTCTCCGACCCGAGATAAGATGGCGTCTTCGTCTGCCAGCGCACGTGGGAAAAAACTTCACTCACCACCGTTTCTTCACGGATAGAATAGATCCAAGTTTGTTTGTTTTCTTCTTTTGCGCTATTTATTCCTCCATACATATGTTTATAATTCCCATTTACATCTTTGAATCTTTACAGATCAGTCCATTCTATTATCTCGATTTTTCATTTTTCACCAGTGTGTCTTGAGACGCTTTTAAGCGCGTGCAACTTGCATCGCAGCGCCACCGGAAGTCGAACATAACTGATTAGAAATTACAGTAAAAACAGAAACGATTGAATATAAATCAGTTTATATACATTCATATTACATTATTATATGCGTTGCGACCCATTTGCGTAAATTTCTAGGTCACAAATATTAGCGATTTAGATCCTTTAATATGTTCCTTTCGATGCATTTTCGTTTATTTTAAGGTTCTAAAGAATAGATTCAGGTGTAACACAATCTCACTACTACACTACCTGTGACATGACAGATTGTTAAACTAATTCTAATTCACAAACAAAATTTAGTCCACCAGAATCACACCCTTTATCCGTTCCATAATATACAACAGATGGAGCCATTTTGTTAACAACCATACAATGTTCGTTTCCACCAGTATTATTAGGTTCGTCTACTGCCCATATAAACGCCCCTATTGCCGAACCGTCGATCCATTTCCAAACACCGCCTACATTATCAGTGGCCCCAACAAACCACCTTGTTGCTGCTGTATAAATAAATAAATAAATAAATAAATTTAAATTACTTTGAGAGTAATACGTTCCTTTTCTAGGGTTACTTTTATGACAGAAGTGGGGGTGGCTCTATGGCCGAATGGTTAGCGCGTGTGCGCTGTATCATAAGATCTGTCATTGAGTCAACTGGCGTGGTTTCGATTTCCCGGTGGTACGTGACATGTAAGGTTGCTTCTCCTGGTCCTCCGGTTTCCTCCCACTGCTAAAGACCCCTACACGCAAGTGAATTATTGAAATAAAATTAAACCATGTTAGTCCCGAAATGACCCAGTTTGTGTCGCGTGTTTTAATCTAGATAATCTCCCGGTTTGGATTTAATCAGTTTTAAACTAGACCCAATAAAATATGGCGGCGTTTTGTTCATACTATTAACAGCGAACAGCATAACATTGTAAATACTACACGGCAATTATCAACCATTATTGAAGAGAGAGAGAGAGAGAGAGAGAGCGAGAGAGAGAGAGTAGGTAATTCCTGGACTAACGTTGTTCATTATTCAAAACAAAATATAGGACACAAAATAAATGATTTCTCATTTAAACAAAATATATGATTTATCATTTAAAATAAAATGTATGATTTCTAAGTTAAACAAACATACGGGTTAACGTCCACTCGATACAAACTAGGTCATTTTGGGACTAACATATGGTTTAATTTTATTTCAAAAATTCGCTTGCGCGTAGGGCCAGTGTGAGGAAATCGAAGGACCCGGAGAAAACCCACGAGGTTAGACTGATATCCATAGGTTTTAGTTTACAAGGAATTCATATAGCGCTGCATGACGCATCGAACCTTTAGCGAAAATAAATGACTTTACCGTCATGAAAATCTTGCTGTTGGAATACATTCAGTTTTCCTGGTGTAGATATGATCATCAGGTCTCCACCTTCACCTTTACACTCTATTTGACCGGCGGCCCAGGTTTTTCTGACAGTACTCTTTCTGATACACAGATTTATTTCTCTATAGTAGATATAGCCCTTTTCAATACATTGTTTTACTGGAATATATAATACATAGCCCTTTTCAATACATTGTTTTACTGGAATATATAATACATAGCCCTTTTCAATACATTGTTTTACTGGAATATATAATACATAGCCCTTTTCAATACATTGTTTTACTGGAATATAGACACATGGCCCTGATTGAAACATTGTTTTACTGGAATATAGACACATGGCCCTGATTGAAACATTGTTTTACTGGAATGTATAAACACATGGCCCTGATTGAAACATTGTTTTACTGGAATGTATAATACATAGACCTTTTCAATACATTGTTTTACTGGAATATAGACACATGGCCCTGATTGAAACATTGTTTTACTGGAATGTATAATACATAGCCCTTTTCAATACATTGTTTTACTGGAATATATAATACATAGACCTTTTCAATACATTGTTTTACTGGAATATATAATACATAGCCCTTTTCAATACATTGTTTTACTGGAATGTATAATACATAGACCTTTTCAATACATTGTTTTACTGGAATGTATAATACATAGACCTTTTCAATACATTGTTTTACTGGAATATATAATACATAGACCTTTTCAATACATTGTTTTACTGGAATATATAATACATAGCCCTTTTCAATACATTGTTTTACTGGAATATATAATACATAGACCTTTTCAATACATTGTTTTACTGGAATGTATAATACATAGACCTTTTCAATACATTGTTTTACTGGAATGTATAATACATAGACCTTTTCAATACATTGTTTTACTGGAATATATAATACATAGACCTTTTCAATACATTGTTTTACTGGAATATATAATACATAGACCTTTTCAATACATTGTTTTACTGGAATATATAATACATAGACCTTTTCAATACATTGTTTTACTGGAATATAGACACATGGCCCTGATTGAAACATTGTTTTACTGGAATATATAATACATAGCCCTTTTCAATACATTGTTTTACTGGAATATAGACACATGGCCCTGATTGAAACATTGTTTTACTGGAATATAGACACATGGCCCTGATTGAAACATTGTTTTACTGGAATGTATAACACATAGCCATTTTAAACACATATTTTTACAGAAATATGAAACGAAAATGATACGAAATGGGGTTTAACGGCCAACTGTTCTGCTTGGGATGGGCTAATGAATACAGGCATACGCCATACAGTATGCTACAAGGGACATTTTGCCAGGGCAGCGGCTCTATATCCCTCTCTTATTATCGAATTCCAACTGCCAAGAGATCTTTTACGTGCATATCAACTTATACACGGGACCTCCGTCCTGCACCACTGACATTAGCCCAGATCGGAGCTGATCAGTACAGTAATGACATCTTCCTTTTTTTCGTCAAAACTCCGTCTTCATTAGCCCAGGTTAGGAGCAGAACAGTAGGACGTTAAACTCCATTTCATTTCATTTCATTTCTGAACAATTAATGACAGTCCTATCCTAGCTATTAGATATATTTCTTGTCAGTTTTATCGACAATTAACTCACAATCTCTTTCAATCTAGACTTTGCATATTTTTTTACACAAATCAAAGACATGGTTTTGCTTTAATGGCATAACGAGTTCTCTCATTTTAATTGATCAAAGCGTCACCAATGAAATCTTTTTTTTTTACATCACTGTTAATAAAAACACAGTCGAGTGGTAATAATCGATTCAATCTTTAATTATCGATTGAGACGTTCTGGTAAATATTATCACATTATGGCTGTTAGATTCATAACAATATTGTTAGTCCGTTTACAGAAACCAACTAGGCTGCGATATGTAGCACTATCGTCGTTGCGACATTTTTTTTAAATTTATAGACAAGGAATAGAGAAATAAGATGGGTTAAACAACATTTTTTATCTTTACAAATTATTCTCTACTGTCAGTATATTAAGGTATGAGTTTATTTAAAACGCAAATTAACTGTTTATGAAATAGCTGAGAATAACAGGAAAGAGAGTCTGAGTTCAAGGATAGATTGTGTCGAGAAACATGTGACGGAAAATTACGATTGCATCATTTAGCTTGTTTGACCAATCTCTATACTTATTTACATGATATTTGACCAATTAGATAATTGAACGTCCAAATCCCACAGCTACAAAACTATCATACTGGTGAGAATTCGTTAGACTTGCATTAGATTCCAGAGATCGAGGGTACATCTGAGTTCCTAGACAGCCGAGAGGCTGGATAGGGTGGAGAAGTGGTTTTAGCTATATAGTATTGTAATTTGTGCTATGCTTGTATACCTTTATTCAGTTATATGCTATAAAAAAAATGTAGAAGCGAACTATGCATTATTATTCCTGGTAAGACAAACGTCTTAAGAAACTGTAAAGACAGCTAGAGACAAATTCTAGACGATCACAAGGCTACAGAAATATGTAGTAAGAAAAGATGCATGGGTCGTATGTAGGATGTGGCGACCGGTTTCCCATAGACGCTCTCCACGTCAGACAGAAGGCTCATGGTGCTACAAATATGACCATCAGTGGACTTGGATGTTAAATCATACGATCAAAGGAACGAGTAGAAACCAGGTTCATAGCGTATCACATCTATAATATTTACATGTTTTATTAAAGTCCATTATCGATTCTGACGTACCAATAGAAATTATTATTGTATACTTTTAAAGTAGCTAAGTCTCTAACTAAATATCATCCAGGGGGCAACAGTAAAAAAAAATGCAAACAGCAACTGGGGGGTGGGTGGGGTCTGCCAGTGGAAAAAGTGCAAGAAAAAGTGCATTTCCGGGTAAGAAAATTGGGTGGTCTAACTGAGTTCTGCAAGAAAAAAAGCGTTCCCGGGTAAGAAAATTGGGTGGTCTGAGTTCTGCCAGAAAAAAAGCATTTCCGGGTAAGAAAATTGGGTGGTCTAACTAGTTCTGCAAGAAAAAAAGCATTTCCGGGTAAGAAAATTGGGTGGTCTAACAGAGTTCTGAAAGAAAAAAAGCATTTCCGGGTAAGAAAATTGGGTGGTCTAACAGAGTTCTGAAAGAAAAAAAGCATTTCTGGGTAAGAAAATTGGGTGGTCTAATGGGTCCCTGGAAGAAAATTGCATGAAACGGGATACGAAGTGTTTCAGTTCATATCAATAACAACTCCATCAAAATAGAATCGTATTTTAGACCGTATCCAAAATTATAGTTTACGTACATATACGTCTACAAAAAATAGGGATATCAAATTAAAAGCTATATCCTACTTTTTGCCTCAGTAATTACAATAAATGCGCTGTTTTGAGCTCCAAATGAGTTGACGTTATGTCATTTGGGTATTATACGACTAGATATGTAATAACAACGGCAGTTCTGGAAACTACGGCTCTACTCTTTCGATAGAGAATGATCATGGAAAATATACTTTGATTATCAAGCAAATATCAAGATAATATTTTTATTCATGAAAGACAGTTTCGTTTTAAAAATAGTTCAGAAATTTCGGCAATAATTTTGACGTAAGAAAACGTTGTGACGTGCTGCCGTATTTACCGAGGTGTGTCGAATTAGTGGTCGAATCCAAGGGAAGATCAATTCAATTTTGGCCGGTAGTGCCAGTCGTTAATGAATTAGTTACGGCCTGTTAACCGAGACTACACAGCGATGACTTTTTAGCCTTTATTATTTTATTTGCAGACCGTCAACACAATTTTATTGCTAGTTCTTGTTCAGAGAAGAGCAGTTCTTGCATACACCCCTCAGAATACCCTATAAAACTATGTGATGCCTAGGATTCAAGTGGTTGCTATGTATATCATTCTGACGTGTTGTCAATCATTGTCATTGTCAATTTTAGCATAATTTCCCGTTATCCTAGGCCCAAATCAGCTGCTATTTCACCTCCCCTAGTGACTATATTTTCAAACAATTTCTTGAGACTAATGACTCATTATCAGGCGGATCATGTTATTCAGAATTTGGTCAAACTTTGATTTAAATTGTCCACTTTAAAGTAAACACTGCAGAGTGCAAAAAAACAAAACATTGTCCACACTACTTTAGTACTTAGTTACGAATAATTTATGATGCCTGTTTATGACTGACTTTCTTCTGTTTTATATATTTCAGAGATGTGTTTGGATGAAGTTTGAAAATAGTGTGATGGTCATTTGAGCAGAATTTCTTGAAGATATTTGTCAATAAAGATTTGAGTTGAGGAAGATGGCTGAGCACAAAATGAAAATAAAGTACACTGTAATATTTATATACGCAGTTATTCGCCTTGCTAAAACAGAGGGGTGTTATATATTGTCCAATCGACAGTGTCTAATCCACCAATCAAAACGCAAGATTCACGCTTAAGCATGTTACAATGCCGTGTCGATACTGTTTTTTTCCCTGTCTCGGAGGTGGTGTTTGGTAACTATGTTTTTAGGACAATTGTGATACTTAAGTGAATGGTGAACTTTGTGTCGTAAGGTGACGACTGTGATTAACTTTATATTCCTCCGGGAAAGTGAACTTTAATTTCTTTAAAACCCATGCTTTCTAACATGGCGGATCTCCATAGACATCGTGAACTCTGTGAACTGTGATTTCCGTGACTCGTGAACTCTACTTATTGAATTAGAACTGGCAACAAAGAAAACTGTCAACTTGTTTATGTTTGTACTGTAACTCCTGTTTCTTGTATATGTTTATTTACATAAATATTCATTAATATTTCAAAGCCTTATCATTTCATTCAAGTTTTATCCCGTGATTTGATCGACTGTTGTCCTGTCAATTTGGTTTGCCAGCCCACTCCGAATAAACACGTCGTGTGGAGAGCATCAACATCTTTTTTACCCACAACACCGCAGCATGCCGAGATGAGATTTGGGTAATCTTTTACTTCTTCACACTCTGGTCAAAATTGGTCAACCTGTGATCAGTAGATTTAAGTGGATATGGGAAAGCACAATAAATGAATAGGTACCAGCCTAAGTTCATATATTTTAGCCTGTCTCTGCATATGGGCAGTCTTAGACTATCTTTGCT